CTCTCTCTCTCTCTCTCTCTCTCTCTCTCTCTCTCACACACACACACACACACACACACACACACACACATAGTACACCTTGTACAGTCACTCTAAATCCGATTTTTCCTCTGCATTACTTCCATCTTCTGTGTCACAGATACACAATGAGGCAGAACATTCACACCTGCAACAATCCACCAGGCTATCACAGGCCCTCATTGTGCAAGGAAAAGAAGAAGAAGAGGGAGGTGGTGATGATGATTATGCTGCTGCTGCTGCTGCTGCTGATGATGATGATAATGATGATGATGATGATGATGATGATGATGATGTTAAGACCTGTAGACACCATAAAAGGACAGCAGGAAAACTCCTGCAAGGACTGTCGCTGACGATGCCAAGAAAAGAGCAATTGACTCTCCTCTGGGAACCTCCTTGAACCAGAAGATGCCCCACATCGAGCTCATAAGCAATTGACACTGCACCAAGGGCCACCCCAAAGTCATCCCAAGGTTCTGCACAGCATAGATGCTGATTGGAAGGAGGAACCACCCACCCTCAATCCACTCCTCGCCCCCCAGTCCCCTCTCCTTTTCCCCCTTGCCTTTTCCCACCCTTCCATCCACGTCAACCCCTTTTCCCTCCCCGCTCAAGCGGCTCAACAACAAAAAGCGCTAAGGACAAGGTGATCAAGCAAGACCTCACACGCACAGGACGCCACACTGGCATGCTTTTCTTACAGTTGGTAAAAAAAATGAATGAAAAAAAGTGGGAAAAAACGTTAGTCGGTCCGAGGTATGGCGGCCTGGTGACTTGCCATTGGGCGACATTGCACATGTCCGACATCACATGGAACACAACAGTCATGAATGGATATTGTGTGACATTGTGTGACATTGTACGGCATTGTGTGACGCCATGCGACACTATGTGACATTGTGTGACATGGTGTGACATTGTGGCCACATTGTGTGATTGTACGACATTGTGTGACATTGTGATATTGTGTGACATTGTGTGGCAGTGTGTGACAGTGTGTGACAGTGTGTGACAGTGTGTGACAGTGTGTGACAGTGTGTGACAGTGTGTGACAGAGTGGCATTTTGTGATATGGTTGGTGAAGGGGGTGTGGCACACAAAGACTCCGTAGAATTGCAGGCTTTCACCGCAATAGGAAAACAGGTCAGCCAATCAGTGACATGACAGGCAAAGTGGTTGAGATCTCCAAGCCATGCTTTGTGGAGTGGGTGAGATCCCATCCCATGGTCAGTGATAGTGTGACAGTAAAGGGGTGGCATCTCACCCCATGGATAGGTTAAAGTGGGTGACATCAGGTCCCCCATTGGCAGGAGGTTGAGTAGTGGGTGCAATCAAGTGATCCACATCCCGTCCCAAGGGCACGTGCCATCACCTTGGAAGATGACACCATAATGGGGTAAGAAGAGGAGGAGGAGGAAGAAGAGGAGGAGGAGGAGGAGGAAGAGGAGGAGGAGGAGGATTACAAAAGGAAAGGAAAAGATCATGAAAAGGAAAAACTTACACAGACGGAAGAGGATAAAGTTCGATAAACATCCTATGACAGGTGACATGTGGCTAGGACAAGGCTTATATAGTCGGCAGAAATAGTCCCATTAGAAGCCCCAAAACTATACCACCAGATCAAATTACACCCCTCCTCCCTCCCTCCAACACCCCCCACCCCTTCAACCCATTCGACATGTCCCTTCCCGCACCAGGACCCTTCCCCCCCCACCCGTTCTCTCTTTCCACACAACCTCCCTCTCCCCTCTCCCAGGATATGATGGGAGCCACAACCAGCACACAAGAACACATGACCACAAAACGACAAAATGATGAAACAGGGGCAAGTGCGTTAGTACATGTCAGACTCTTTTTTTTACACCAAAAAAAGGGGTGGCAGTGTAGCACCTAACATTGTCATATTCATTCGATCTCATTCCCGCAGGATTCCAACGCGTGATCTGTTTAAGAGGTGTAGCCCCAATCATCGCACTAGGAGTTTAGTTTAGCAGCTGAACCTGTCAGCAATGGCGACCAGATACATCCAGGCTGTCCAGCCCTACTGCTGAGTATGCCCTTGGAGACTCTTTTTTTTTTTTTTTTTTTTTTTTCCATTCAAAAACAATTCATTTCAAATCAACAGATGATGAGGCCGGGGACCTCACAATTCCACCCGGAGTTATCCTGACAGCATCAGCCAGTTTAGCTTACGGTCTCGGCCGAACCGAGAACCCAATCTCCAAATACACAGACATTGCACTGAACTGGACCTAAATCTGCCTTTCTTCATCCAAAGATTTCATACACTAGAGTTCTCTAGACTCAATACAACTAACTGCACCTCCTACTACAGGGCGTCTAAAGCGACAACCAGGCCAACCGGCCCGGTGGAACATACTGTTCCTCCCTTTCCTGACACTCTCCAAACGGGCCACAGCGTCCCTACCAACCGAGTGTCCTGGTTAGGTCCTTGGCCCTCTCTAGCCTCCTCCTTACCGACCGAGGTGCCCTGGTCCCCTACCCAGACCCAACACACCTACTTACCTAACTCTCTCTCTCTCTCTCTCTGTCTCTCACCCACACCCAGTGTCCCTCCCTCATTTCTTCAACCATTCTGACAGCACCAGACCGCGGGACGTGTGGACCCCTGCCAGCTGATTCCCTTTTGTCCAGGATCTTAGGAACCACCACAGCTGTCTCCTTGGGCCTCTTCCGCACTTGGCCTTCCTCCTCCAGTCCGCTCCAATTGCTCTTCTCAGCCCTCCCTTTATACTAAACTTGATCTCTGGGTCTGAGAAGGGGCGGCCTTCAAACCTGGCGCGGTTCCTGTCCGCCCAGATTGTTGAGCAAATCACCGATCTTGCTACCTGTGCCACGTAGGACCAGCCCTTTTTTCCGGACTGGTCTGCCTCTACAAAGCCCAGTAGAACCCAGTGCTCATTCCATTCTACTCCTTCTCCCCCAAGTCTTTGCCAATGGTCAGCCCACCATTTCCACACCCTTCTTGACGCCGGACAGTCCCACCATAGGTGTTTGGTTGACTCAAAGGGTCAGAAGCACCGCGGACACTTCAGAAGGATTTCCATCCCCCTGCTCCTCAGCCATACTGCAGACGGAGTCACCAACAGGGAGAGCATCCACAGGAGGCTGGCCTGTTTCCTGTCTGGAATCGTCAACAAGGCTGCCCATAACTTCAGAAAAGGGGTAACTAGGGCGCAGTCACGAAAGCAGTTTGTAATTGCATTTCAAACTGCCGTTTTGGAGTCCAGTCCGGTCCCAAGTTTCAACTGCAGTAGAAACTCTCACCATGCACAACAGTCGCAAGGCCGAGTTTGCAACTGCAGTCCAGTCCGGCATGTTTTTTTTGTTTTTTTTTTTTGTTTTTTTTTGTTAATATCTCGGCCGTGGCCGAGGCATCGCGGCCGTGGCCCAGCCACGCGACGAGATGCACTCTCTCTTTCTTTTTTTCACCTAGGCTGTGGCGGAGGCATAGCGGCAGTGGCCAGCCACGCGACGGTGATGAGATATGAAAGAACGAAAAAAAAAAAAAAAAAAGTGCAAAACGAGAGTGAATCTTCCGCTAGAACATGGAAAGATGCAACGCCTCGAGGCCCCAAGGATGACACTCATAGGTAGGGAAATCTGAGAAGGAAAAACAAAAAAGAAAAAAAAAAGAAAAAAATAAGAAAAAAATAAGAAAAGAAACTGTGTTGTTTTCAGCACGTGTATCCTCTAGGGCCTCTGCGTTGTTGTCAGCCCGTGTATTTCGTTGGGCCACTGTATCCCCGTTGCACAAAAAAAAATGAAATCATGGCGCTGTATCTTTCCATGTTCTAGCCAAGATTCACTCTCTTTTTGCACATTTTGATCGTGGAAACTGAGAGTGAATCTTCCGCTAGATCATGGAAAGATACAGCGCCACGAGCTTTTCTTTTTTTCTTCTTGTTTCTTCTTTTTTTTTTTGGAAAACGGCCTGGCCCTCCGACGTGGATGACTAGACTGCAGTTAGAAACTCTGCCCTGTGACAGGCACCCGACCAAAGAGTTTGGACTGCAGTGTAAACTTCAGAGGGGCTTGGACTCCAAAACGGCAGTTTGAAATGTATTTTCAAACTCTAACCCTGACAGCGCCCTAGTTTTCTCTTCAGAAAATCACCCTCCCTTCCCTGCAGATCTGTCAACAGTACCGAGCTCCACCGGGCCACAGCCACCCCAGCTGGGCTTCTTTCTTTGCGTTCCGTCAACCTGTACGACTCTCGCACAGAGATATTTGTTAAGTCTACACCCTGTGGGTTCATCCTTGACTCGATTCCCCCTTTCCATTTCCAAGCCCTGGGATCTATTGCCAGATCCCTCAATGGTGACCTCCCCACCCAGGCTGAGGCGACTACCCCACCCCTCTTATTAAGACTTTGTACCACCCTAACCTCCAGTGGGTTGGTCCATTGTCTGATCACCTCCTCCCCTGTGTGTGTCAAGGTGGATGAGTGTTCCCCTACCTTCCACGTCTGTACTTCCCGAAAGCCCCCTACTGTCCGTCCCTGCACCCTCCAGATTTCCTGTCCCTCCTCTGTTGGTGGGGGAGCATACCTAGTACCTACCGGGTCCACCCCTTCCGCCCCCAGCAGCAGCTTCCATTGGTCCGGAATCGCTTGGAGAAGGCTGTGCCAGTGGTCCTCAGTGTGCCAAAGCCCTTGTAGCTGTGCATGAATGTCGCTAAACTGTTTCCAGCAGCCTGGTAGAGTAGACCACAGGTCCGCTATCCTTGAGACCCCTCTTCGTATCCACGTTTTGCCAAAAGCACCCAGAGCAGAGCCTGCTGAAAAAGGTCTCCCTTCCGTATCCACAATCAGCGGATTATCGAACAGCCCTTGTCGCAGAACCTCCTCCTTCGTGACCGGCGGTGTCCTGATCTTTGGCGGACTTTTCACCCATGCTCTTCTCACTGCCTCCCAGAATTCCGACTTCAGTTTCGTTCTCATGAAGGAATCTGTAAAGAAACACAGCCAAACATCCTGCGGGCGGCTCAATTGCCACTCCCTCATCAGGATCCTCTCCGCTAACAAGATCCAGTCCTCTTTTACATCTGCCATTGCCACTCTGCTCAGCCACTGCCTCAACTGCGCCTGATTCTTCCTTTGTAGGTCTATGAGGCCGAGCCCTCCCTGCTCCTCAGCACATGTAACAAGTTCCCAGGCGACCTTCACCAAGAAACCCTCCTCTTCTGCTGCTCTGGGTTTCCACAAAAACCTTGTTGCCAGCCGCCTGATCTCAGATACTGCTGCCGCTGCCAACTCTCTCACCGTACCCACGAACTAGACCAGGGAGAACAGCGCCACATTGATCACTAAGGCCCTTCAATATAGCGAGAGGTGCCAGGCAGAACCCCACACCCTCAATCTCGCCAAGACCCTCTGCTGCAAGATTGCTCCTTGAGTGATGCTCATCATCTGTGTGCTCACCATAACTCCCAAAAATCTCTCCCCTGATTCAGGGTCTACCCTCTGCATC